CTTCACCGGGTGATAGAAGACGCTCTTCCAGATGTCAGTGAGCACTGCCTCGAAGCCAACCTTCTTCAGATGTGTCTCGCAGTGTTTCTCCCAGATCCCCCCTGAATCGGGGTGCCCATAAAGGGCCAACTTCAGAGGCACGACTGGGTCACTCATGCCTTTCGAGGATCTCGGCCACCGATTCCTTGGTAACCTGACCCAAGTTGCAACCCCTGTGAAGAGTGCCTGGGTGTATGCTTGCTTCGCATCGGCCTGTTGGATGACATAGCCAGGTTGGGAGCCAAACACGTCCAGTATTTTACCTGCTTCCATTGATGCGGGGCTATTAGATGCGTGAGGGCTTGGTACACGATATAGCGTATAACCTCGCTCCCCTCAGATGAGCTTGTTGTTGTAGTAGAGTGTTTGCGAGTCCAACGATAACCCTTGCAGCTTCACTCGGTCCCGACCTTTTCTCTGCGCCAGACGAAGTCTGTTGCGGTCTTTGCACCAAGGCTGTACGCACTGGTTATGGCAGGTAGCAGGATGACTAGTGCCTGATCACTAATTTGGCTTGAGCCAGTTTCTTGAGCCATGCGCCGATATGAGCTTTGCTTCGACATCCGCTCAGTGGACAAAGTCCTCCAGAGCTTCAGTCTTCCTTGATGGGGAAGCCCCTCTCAAGGTTGCAAACAAGATGGTTACATAGCTCACAAGCAAAATGCTCTAGGCTTCGATGTCTCTTCACACCCCCCATGAGTGAGGCCTTCGGCCTTGCTCACCCAGGAAGAGAGACGCAGAATTAGACTGTGCTCAACGGCGGCTTGGCAGTGCGTACTTTCAGCCTTAATTAGTGACGACGTGAGACATGAAGCGTCAAGTGCGATCCCTAGCTGTGGTCTAGTGAAGGAATCACAAGCATGAAGAAATCATATGCACGAAAAGTGGTGCATTGAATCATGTCCACATCCGATAATGTACGTCAGGAAGATGGCAATGTTCACGTAGAACTTCACCACTGACGTCGATCTCTGTCCCAACGTCGATCATCTTGGTATCCTGCCCACCGCTCGTCGAAGGCTTCTTGGTTTCTGCGCCTGCGTTCATCACGTGGTGGTGGTCCAGGAGACTTCGCCTTGGGGGCTGCTTTGGATTTGGCTTTTGCCTTTGCGGCAAAGACCTGGTCCGCTTCAGCTGCCTCTTCCCACGTCACTGCTTGGTGTGCATGAGGGCATTCCCTTGATAGAGACTATTGCGTCCTCGTTGACGTGCTTTTGTCAGTCTTGCAGTGAACTTCGCCTGGATGGGGATACTCAAGTCGACCATCATCGTCAAGAGCTGGATAGTGCAATCCTTGGGAGTGAAAAGTTGGCATATCCCAAAAGGATCGATGCAGAGGATATAGCTGGGCATGTTGTTCGTGCGAGGTGCCAATACCCTGTATTGTCGATAACCCCCAACCCTGGCCACAAGCTTGGAAAGAAGCAATGCGCAACTTGAATGCACCATCTTCATTTCCACTTCGGCACTCTGGCCTTCGCGAATATGGCTCTCGGTTTTGAAGTGTTGACGTTGGTAACCAAGTTGCGCGGCTCCTCGAACAAGTTGAGAAATAATTTGGTGTGTTCGAAATCGGCTGAGAAGGTGATCTCCCATCGGGTCATCATTCTGAGCGCGGTTTCGGCCAAGTTGGAGTACTTCGTCGTCACTGACCACTCGCGGCACACAATTCTCTGGATCCACTTCTGACAAATGATCCCAGTTTCCAAGAGCGTCATGGCGTTTGCCTTGCTTAAAGGATTCCTTGGCAAGTTCCAAGGGAAGTTCCATCCATCTGGTGTATGCCGGCCAATATTTGTGCATCAAGTGAATGATCAAATACGCCATGTACATCGCATAGTCAATGGATGGGTCGATGAGATGGGCAGGTTCCATAAGATTGAAAATGATAGGCACTCTTACCCCTGCTCGGAAATGTGCAAGCTCTGGGTCCACGAAGAGATCGGTGTCGAACAGCAATACAGGTTGTCGTGATTGTACTTCCTGTACGTATCGTGGCGCAGCTTCTCCTTCTCCTTCTTCTTCGTCCACGTCAATTTCTCCTTCAGGTTCGGCGACTGTTTGCGCATCTTCATTTCCCATTGCATCATCACCATCGTTGTCAACTTCTGGTTGTGGTTCCTCTTCCACCGGCTCATCTTTGTCAACAGGAATAACATCCGCTGCCTCACGAGCGCGTGCAATGGCTTCACGAGGAATCTCCATTGGAGCATCTGCACTGCTTTCGATGCGTTGATATCGTCCATGGGCGATGAAGATTGAAAAGCACAAAGAGCACCTTGACAAACATGAAGGTCAGATTGAGACACCATGGGCAAATACGATAATTATCTGAGGTTGCGTTCCCTGCTGGTCCTCGCCTGAGAAGGTGGTGGTGTATGTATGATCAGGAATTCGACTGCTTCGGCAAAGGCATGCTCATACTGACGGTAATCATCCCTTGACCAGTCGGCGTCGTAATACTCGGAGAGTAGAGAAATAATCTCTGTCTTGGTGTTTTCATGAGGTCCGCTGGGCAGATCACAGAGTAGTTCCAAGAGCCTTTCCAAGTTACGGTGCGCTTTCATTTCTTCGGCAGCAGGCGTTAGTGGCCTTGCGTAGTCCGTGCAGATTTCGTCTTCCAGTTCGTAGTCAAGGATCTTTTCGACTTCCTCAAAGCCATACGATCGATTGTTCCCTGGAATACACATCCACATCTCTCGCACCATGTAAAACGGCACTGTTCTGTCACACATGATCACACCGCTTTCTGTCAATTTACCTCCCTCTCTGACCAAATCGATGATTGGGATATACAGAGTCACCATAGGTGTCCTCTGATCCTCCCTCGATCTGTTGCGAGTGGTCTTGTTTCTTGGATCCCAAGGTGGAAACACCCCCCAGTAGCTGTGCTATCGTCCTGACGTCCTGCGTTGGCCAATCATATCGCTGCCGGTCTTGTTCAAGTTGTAGATCTCAGTTGAATGATATGCTCCTTGAATTTCATTCAAGAGTGACATCGACGCAGACAATGCGAACTTTGACGGATCGAGCTCCATGATTGTGGTGTCGGATCGCGATTGTCCTGTTGCTGCTCGGATTGCCCATGGCCTGACCCAATTTGCTGTCTGCTCCAAGTGTTCCTGCCTCAAATATCGAGTGTCCCGAGTGCGTTGCAGCTTCTGGTACTGCGTCTCCATGTCGACAATTCTATGCGAACATGGCTGCTCACCGGCCCGTAGCTCTTGTCCAGTCAGGTTTGGCATAAGTCTAACGCCCATGAACTGCAGGCGAAGTTTCTTATCACCGCGTCGATAGTTGATGTAGTTGCCATCGATGAGGAGCTGAAGTCTTCGCTGAATCTCCCGCTGGCGAGCCGTGTTGTCGTGAGCTGGCAAGCCGTATCCGATCCGTCGCTCATAGTGGCACCAAAGGAGCTCATTTGTAAGTAACGAATCCAACTTTACCCAGCCGCCTTCATCGCATCTGATTGTTGGAATCGGCGATTGGCACCTCTTGTCCCAGAAGATTTGCCTGTCCTCATGGTCAATGTGATGCCTGAGGTCTTTCTGCAAGAACCGTACCGCAGCTTTTGCGTTTTCTCTTGCTTGATAGAGGTATTCGTGTGGTTCTGGGCACGCTTGATTCCTTCCCATGATGGATGGCAGAACGTTGCCCCCATCGGAGGTAACTTGTGATCGAGGAGTCCACCATAGACTCATGTTTGCCGGCTAAGACTGGCATGGCTGGCACAGCTTTGACTGCGGCTTCATACTCAGCCTCGTAGGTGGCTTGAACTTTCCGTTCGTTTTCAGCTACAGCCTCTGCTCTTTGTCTTTTAGACATGTTCCTCCATGATGAATGGTCGATACCTTCAGGACGATTATTAATTATTACCCTTCTTCTTGATGAGGCATTCACCGTTCCAAAAGTAACCATGCGGAGGTGTAGGTGCTGAAACTGTGGCAAGATTTCTCTTGACAGAATGAGGAACATCATCGAGCAAAGCTGCCCTCTTCTTTGCTTTTGTTGCTTCTTCCGACTCGCCCTCGCGGGCGGCAAAATCTTCCGCATCTTCCAATGGAGGATTATCGTCGTCATCAAACAAATCCCCGAAGTACTCCCGAATCTCACCTGGTTTGTAGAACTCGGAAAGAGGGCGATTGTCGAAGTTGATGTCGTCGAAAAGGTCTTTGCCCCCCTCCTCCAGAGGTGGATGCGGGTTCCTGTCTTCAATGGCGTTATAATGTTGATCGTCAAGGTTGGGTGGCTTACTGGGCTCACCGGTGGCGTCAGCAAGAGGATATACAAAGTCACCTTCCAAGGTTTCGAGCCTCTTGGTACGAAAGACCTTGAACGCATCGTTCTCGATTGCATTGTGAATCTCGTACAATGGTGCTACGAGGTACTCGGCCTTGAAAACAAAACCGGGCTGAATGTGGTAACCAAGGAAATGCCCTCAATACTAGCGCCAGCAAACTTCGACCTCTGAGGCGTCTTTTGCTTTGGGATTTGGGGGTGCCCAATAGAGAACCTTTGCTCCAAAGGGAATCTTCTTGCCACTGAATGGTTCGCCAAACCTGATGTCCCAAGGTACCTTACCATTATCCAACCTCTTCGTGATGTTGAGGCACATAGCATGATGTTGAGCAGCTAAGGGCCAGTAGCGATCCGGTAGTCCAGACTGCACGAGGTTGGAACGCGTGCCCTCAAGGATAGTACGTATTTCACGTTCTATCACCGCCTTGTTTTCGTCCACATAGGCTCTAGACGTGTTGCGGCGGCAGCGCAGCTGTTTAGCTGCGTAATCAAACTCAATCGCATTATCGGAGTACAGCACTTTGACATTGTCGTCTACCGCAAGAAAATGCAACATGTCCTCGTGGCATTGTTCGCCGGACTTGCTAGTGGCAGGACACACGTATCGAAACTTTGAATACACGTCCTTCACCACGTGGGCTACGGTCTCGTCCTGAAACCCGTAGTCCTTCGCATCTCTTGTGATAATGTGATCAACTGTGATGTGGTCTCCGAAGGCTTTGCTGTGAATGGTAGATGAACCCCCCTTTC